ATTTTCTAGCAGTTAGAGTAAAAAATAAAACAAAAGACGAGACCTCAAGCCCCAGGTTATTGATCTGAGCTAAATCCATTCAGAATTAACGTAACTCAAAATAGCTTTACAGCCAACGGAACGTGAATGCACTTGTAGGAAAAGATTCTGTGATATTTTATTTGTTGCATATCTAATGTACCCTTAATCTAATATTATAAAGAAAGCGAACGAAACTATATAATTTGGAATGAGGAAGTAAACTCTAGATATTCTTTTGCTTATAACGTACCAAATTATTCCAGATTGACATGGGTTATATATTATGTTATACTCACCAAGTTATGGTATAAGTATTGAGAAATATAAAAATCAATATATTGTTTTAAATAATTGTACCCGCCTACGCTAACAGTTGTAGACGCTGGCAGGGCTACAGTAGAGGATGATAAGATGAGCGTGAGGTCAGGTCAGTTCGCCCATCATGACAAATTCACTGTAAGTTTATTATAATGGTTTCCAGTGGGAACCGCGTTAAGGTCAATCTGACATGACTACATTGCTAGCTATAGGGTCATCAGTCCACATAACTAACAATCCACTTCCCCCCTTAAAAATTATTGTACTTTATTAATGTCGCTAAAACACAATAAATTTTTGATTGATTTGAGTTTTTATTTTTGGGCGTGGTTTAAAAGAAGTCAGAAAACACCTTTAAATTTATAAAATACATGCTGTTCCCGCGACTTCGTCGCGAATTTAACTTTATTTTGCTAAATTAAAAGTAGCCTAAGTTACTCCTTATTATATCAGCTACCTGCCAATAAAAGTCCCGTCAAAATCTGTTCAGCCATTTCAGAGATTAGCCGGAATAAACAGACAGACAGACAAACTGTAAAAAATGTATGTACCATGTGTTATGGTGTAGGTACCATATTTTTATTCATATCGTAAAAAACTGTTATTTCAATATTACAAACATACACTTCAATTTTATTTATAGGTATAGATAAATAGATCATGTTCTATATTAATACAGGATACTTTTTATAAATACGTGAGTGATGCGGCGCGAGATAGACCTTTATTTTTGTTTTTCGTGTGGAGAAATCTTCAAAACACCATCGTTCCTTCAGAAGGGTGAAGAGGGGGTGGGTGGTATTCTCACCCACTAAAAATCACACGGTGTTCCTACGCAATATGCCTACTATAACATGTATGAGTGTAATCCTTTATGATACTACGTTTCCTACCAAACAAACTAACGTAGTATGTGATGATATGACTCATTGCGGTTTGACTTTGCCAACAGATAATACTAAAACTCACTATGCTTTATTGTATATACACTGTGAATGGTACTTGTTAAATTTTCCGGTCACTATTATTATAGGTATAGTATAAAAAAATGTATACCGATACGATTTCATAACGACATTAAGGACTGTTATTTGTGATATTTAATGTAAATATCTATGTAGTACTTATCTATTTCAAATATGTTAACAGCTCGTTAAGTAGGATTATTAATAATGTGAACTAATTACTCCATCGTTCACGTCGTTTCCCCTAGAAATAATAGTGATAAATTTGGTCATGATGGGCCAACTTATCCTCCACTGGTGCTCTACCAGCGTAAACTGTTAGCGTTAGCGATGCACCATGCCACAATCATCCATTAAAAACAGCTCTTTAGGGGAACAATTATGAATTAATGACTATAAGGGGCATTCATAAATTACATTACACGAAATTCGTTATTATTGACAACATCCCCCTCCATGTCACATTTAGTGACTACTTGCGAGACCTTACCTTACCACCTAGTGTGACACTCATCGGATCAGGGACAAGCGCTTTCAAACGCAAACGATCTATATCTAGACGCTTGGTTTCTGATTGTAAGAGAGTGAAATGGTTTTTGTATGTATATTATTAATAGTATTTAATTTGTATTTATTGTATTCTAGCTACCCGCACCGGCTTCGCACGAGTGTGCATATAACTTACATATAAACTATCCCTTGAATTACTCTATCTATTGATAAATACTGCATTAAAATCCGTTCCGTTGTTTAATTACTTCATTTTATACTATGTAGATTACGGATGACAATCTTCGGACTATTGCTTGTAATAAAAAAAAATCGTCGTATTTGAAAAATACAGTCATTGTAACGGCCTTGGTGGTCTAACGGTTTAGTACACCGCCTTTTATCGATGGTCGCGGGTTCGATTCCTCGCACGGTTTAAATATTTGTATTCATGAGTATGATTGTATTGGTCTGGGTGTTTTCCTTGTATATTATATGTCTATATCAGTTATATACTGTTTTATAAGTATCTATACCAGTTGTCTAGTACCCATAATACAAGCTCTGCTTAGCTTGGGTAAATGACGTTGTGTGAATTGTCTTGGAGTTTTTTTTTTATTATAGAGACGAAAACGGGAGGAGGTGCTAGTTGTAAATAACTTCAATATAATTAATTATGACAGTCTATGTGATTTTTACAGAATGTACATAAAGGTATTTGATGAGATGTGTTATAATACTCATAATAGTCTTGAATACCGACATGAATATACTTGTAAATAAATACATACGTTAACCCTACCAAGACTACGAAAATATTATGTTTGGAGAATGTATGAGTCAGTGTGAAAGTGAAGCTTTGTAGAGATTTGTAATGTACTGTATTACTCAAGTAAATGACTAATTCAATAACTTGCTTTTATACTGGTTGTTATACGCGATTTTGTTTGTTTTTATTATAGATAAGCGATAGCCTATGTTCGTCCTCGTGATGTAATCGTTCCCATATAATATTTGATTAAGATGCGTTCAGTCGTTTAATAGTTAAAAGGTTACAAATATACAGACGGAATACTTCACATTTATAATATTAGTATGGATTTAACATTAATTAAATTAGGTTTCGGCAAACAACACAAACACAACGTTTTCACAAATATTATACCTTGTTACGATCTTATTATTTTAGCCTATGATCATACAGGTAGATATATATGAAAGTTAGTTTTGTATTTATAATATCTGTAGAAAATTGTGTGGTTTATATTTTTTTGTTCCACTTTATGGTTGAGCTGTATATGTGCATTTTATGGGTCTCGAATTCGAGTCTCGATTTAGTTCTATTTTTAAAATAAATTTGAATACTTATATGTAATAGCAGGATGTAATAGATTTAAACACCCATGTAGGAAGATTTCTATAATATGACCTTTATGGTTTTGGTTATGAATATGGATGGAATGCAAGTTTTTTATTTAACTGTGATTGTCCAATATTTAGTCTCCTTTGTTTTCAATGTTATTGATGGAATTTGATTACACAAAAAAATTGCATAATCCTTTCCAGGATAGGCATCGAGTATATCCTAGCCTATCGTCCTGAAATCTTTAAAATAAAAAAAAGCGAAAACTAACCCGCTAGATTATTTTATTAAGACACATTTAATCATTTAGTCGTGAAAAGGTAAAAATAGACAGACGAATAGAAAATTTTAGTATGGAATGTCTTATAGATGTTTGTAAATAATAATAATTTAAAATGTACATCAACTTTACACAAACGGATTATATTTCTTAACTATTCAGGTGTCGACAATGTTATTATATGTATAGTTCTTCGATGATGTGACAGTAGGTACCTACTATAATACTAGTGGGCACCAAATGTTAACAGGAAAATGATTCGCCTTTTTAGATTTGAATCACGATTCCTTAAATATAATGAATTACACGCTATAACTACTATGGTTGTAATATGTCGTACGAGCATTGATGCTAGACGTAGTTTTGCTCCGAAATGCGAATTTGTTGAGACAACTATAAAACGTAAAACTTTAAAATATTGATTTGATGATTCCGCTATGGAGATTTCTGACTAGTTAATAAAGGTCTAAAAACACGTAGTGAACTAATAAACAAAAGTGGTAGGACAACAAAATAAGCCCAACATTTGTCGTTTGAGAAATGACACTAGTAATTCTTTATTCGTGTAAAGGTGAATTTTGGAGGGAATTTGGGTGGAAAGCAAAACGGCCATCTGGTAACACTGCGTACCACACAAAGTCACATACCAACTTGTCTTTTTCTCTGTCGTTTTAACGTGCGGCGATGATTACTCATCGCATCAGTTTTGTTTTTGTTTCTTGAATAACTGGTTTACCACATATCTATTCGAGTCTAATTTACAGGAAGGACTTGCAAGTTACTTTAAAGAATTGGTTTGTTTACATTTTTAAATGTCTTGATTATGACTAAACTGTGCACCGTTAGTTAAAAACTTAAGTTTTGTTTGATCTAGTGATATCGTCAGTTATTAATGATACTCTTTATTGCACTTACACTATATGTATAATAAGATAAAACATTGTTGTAAAAAATATGAACAAGGATGGGCTTATATTCGATTTTGTTGTCTTAATATAAAAAATACAAAATAATTTGTAATGATATCAGGCATCTCTAAGTAGTTGTTAAGGTTGAACTCATAACAAAATCTCAATAGATTTTGTTATAAGCTATTACATGCTTTTGTTCTTGATTTATCTTTTATTATCTCATAATAGAGTAAAATGGGGGTAAGTCCTCGGTTAACTTGTGCCGCATGAATGACGCTCTGTTAAATCAATTCAAACACAAATTTTAAAGTTTGTATTTGTATTTCTACCTGTGTTATATATATATATATATATATATGTATATATATATATATGATATATAATACTGAATAGGAATCCTAGCAAAATTAAGATGAGATTCCAAAAATATTCATTAAAATCCAAACACGCCCGGACTAATACTGTTGAATTCAGACTCTGCTCCTTGTGGCAGTCAGTTGAATAAAACATGAGACCGAGCCGTTCTTCTCAGGAAAGTATTATATTTCTCGGAGTGGTTGGTAATTCAATGAATAGTCGTCGTGGTATTAACCTAGGATTTGTATTGTATACATGCTCGGTGTGTGTATAGACTGATTAATTTTGTGTTACAGGCAGTGGCGGAGCGAGGCATGAGTGATCAGTGGTAGCGGGTGGCGGTGATGCAGCGAGCTCACGCGGGCGGCGCCCCGCACCCACAGCCCCCCGCCGCCGCTACCGCCCCCGCGCCCTTACCTGCACCCACTCACACGCACTACCGTACACACACACTGTACGCTGATATTGATGATCAGGTAACTTCATACATATTTCAACTCTAAATATGTTCTAGAATTATCAACAAGAATTAATATTTCTGTATTTGTATTGTCTAGATACCAGCTTCGGTGATAAGCAGCGTTGGCACTGTAAGCCTCTCACAGTCGACTACAAACCCAACTCCTAATATAACAATGGCGAACCCGACGAACCCAGGCCACGCTAGTAGTGGGAACGCACCGCAGCCCGTCACTCAACAGACACCGACGCAGGCGCCGGTACGCAACCTGCCCAAGAAACGGAAGTTTGATCCTTCTGAACTAGAGGAGATTGAGCGAAATTGCGTGAACAACATTGCCGTAACCGCTCCACTGCCTGTTGAGTACCAACAGCAGAACACACAACCTATACTACAGGCATCTCCGATAGTTCAACAGCCTTCAATTCCAACAGAAACCAAACCGTTCATCCATTACCCAAACATAGATCTTTCAGAGTGGCGGGATCATAGAGTGCTGGCAAAGCAGAACGGACTCTATATACCGGGTGTGATTAGAGAGGCGGAAGGTTCCAAAGTGACTGTCGAGTTCGATGGACAAGAGAACGATCTTGTCGAGTACTGTGATATTTTCGGGAAAAACAAGTACGATGTGATTAGTGATGCCAGTCCTCAAGTGATTCACTTGCTGGTAGGTTCCGCGTGTGTTGTGAGGACTATGGACTCGAGCCTCCCGTCTAGAGGTGTGCAAAATGTTTTTGTGGAAGGACTAGTTTTTGAAGTGCTCAGTTCACCTATAAGGATACGAGTCAAGGTGAGAAAGTTTCAATACTTTTTAATATTAAGACATCTTGGGATTATCTTATGGTTTGATTGTCTGTTTGATTATGGTGCATAAACATTTTCTTTATTAGCTGCTTACCTAAGCAGCTAATAAAGATATTGTATAATTATGTAGTGAGTGTGTAAAACGGCCTACACTTTACACTAAAATCAGGCTCAATATTTTAATCGACTCGATCTAGGAAACCATCTAGTGCGCTTCTCATCACTGACATGATATTGCCTCTAATTTTAGTGCTGTGTGTAAACTGTATTACAATTTTTTTTTACATATAACAAGTACCTACCTACTATGGTATTGTCACGTGGGCTTATATGTGAATATACTTCATGTCATAGAGATATTAATGCCTTTTGTAAATATTTTGAAACTTTACCATTATTATGATTAGTTCAATTTCTTACCTTAAATAACAAAAATGTTTACAAGTATTTCCACAAATTTTTCTTCTGAATGGAACTTCTCCCGAAAGGGAATCTCTTTCAACTTTTGATATTTATTTTGGTTAAAAATATATGTACCTTACTAGTACAAACTGTTAATATACATGTCAAAGTTTGTTTATTATTTATCTTTTGGCGACTTAACTGCTAAACCTGTTCTCATGAAATTTATTGTAATACCACAAAGTATTTGGGACGCAGCACATACACATATATGTATAATTTTTTATCGTGGTAAACCAATTTGTCCTGGTCATGCGAACAAAGACATGGTTTAATGTTAGTACTTAATAATTAATTTACCAAATTATATATATAGTAACACTGTTGCATCCTTATATTCTCATTCAATATTATTTATTCGTATAATATATTAAACTTCAGATAAGGCACTTATTGTAATAGGTAAATGTAGTATTAAATATATGAATACATTATCTGCTAACTATAAATATATATTAGCTGGATTTCATTAAACTGTATTTTTGTCAGTTAAACACTTTACTACATACGACAGTTACAAACGGCAAAGATTTTCATTATTTATGTATGATGTATTTTAGTAAATAAAAATGGTGAAAGTTTATTTAACGTCATAGAGCTATTAAAAAGTTAGATTACCTTATCTATATCAGGTAGGTATATTGTACGTCTGTAAAATTATCTTATAGTACTACTTATACACGTAGGTACAAAGACATGCATATCAGTGTTCGACCATCGAAACCCTAGTATAAGAATCACACTACACTATATACCTACCTATATACTCATAGGTAAATAGAATATGACATGTCACATACAGTCATTAAGATCTGCGTGCCGCCTTTATGGGATTTGACGAGCATCATTATGAAGCCGGAAACTCATATGAAGCAACTTATGATATCCTAGCTAAAACTATTATTTATATGTTAAAGAAAATCATGTCTTTAATGTCTTTATATGTATATACTAGAACAATGTAAGATAGTGATCCTATGTATGAATGTACGCACGCACTTATCAAATGCAGATAATGTAATGTAATATTCTAATAATCAAATGACGTTTTATTAATACAATCCGATAAAACTTTCACCATTCTTAATTATATATTTAATATAATTTAATTTATTAATATTACATGATTTGTTTACTAGTTATAGTGAGTAGGAATTTGTAATTTTTATAATATACCGGGTGTAGTCATTTTTAAATGGCTTCATTTATAATATTTATTCATCTATTTACTCTTAATCTCCCAGAAATGTATTACAATGAATATTATTTACAGAATGAAATAATATTAATTGTAATACACTTCTGGGCGATTAAGTGTCAATGAATCAAGAATGAAGGGTAAAGAAGGCGGCTAGAATTTTTACAATATCGTTTCCGTGGGTACCTCTGACTCACCTATACCTATTCCTATACTCGTTAATAAAAACGTTTTACCGAGTTATACTTTGTATAAAGCTGTCCTCAACCTGTCTTAACTATTTTCGCCGTCAAGCTTGCTTTGTAAGATATGTTTCAGTTGAAGATAGTTATCATATATAACTCTCAATGAAATTGTGGAGAAAGGAAACATCTTAGTCCTTTCTTGGAATCTTTCTTTCTTTTTTTGACAATTCACACAACGCCATCAAGTCCTAATCTAACCAGAGCTTGTGATATGGGTACTAGACAACTTATAGAAATATACAAATAAGTACAATTATTTTGTAAATACATACATAATATATATAGAAAACACTCAGAAAGATAGAAACTAGTATACTCCTGAATACAAAATGTTTGCACCGTGCGAGGAAGTGAACGCGCGATCTTCGGAACTAAAGCAGTGTGCTAACTGAGGCCGTCGAATCATATCGTAACACATAATGGTTACATGATAACGTGATGATAATGTATATATGGTGACGGTTACCACATCAATCTTAGCTAAGCCATTAGCTGGAGTCGAGTTTCAAGGCGTTTTTGGCTCGGGTCCCGACTAACATGCTGCCCATCTTCATATAGGAGGAATACTGGCCAAAGGGGATGATATACCGGCGCTACCGTGGCAGATTGTCGTCGTCAATGCCTTGACCACAGAGTAATAATAGTAATATTAATTTATATGTAGCCTGTATAGAAAAAAAGCTTGTTTGTATATATGGTGTCTCTTCATAACAACACATATTAGATAGATAGATATTTATTGGCAACTGTCTACAATAAAACGTAATTTGTGTCAACAAGCAGGTGACAGACGGTGAGATATGTAACGAGATGGTGGAGGTGAAGCGAGCGGATATCAGGCTCCTGCAGCCCCCATGGGCTGACGAGTTGGAGGATGCCGGTTCCCATCCTGTCACGATGGCGGGTCACAACATGAACGTGCAACACGTGCACGCACCAGCCGTGGTAAGTGACGGCATTGAAGAGTCTTAGTAGTTAGTCAGTACTAAGGAGGGGTTACTTAGTACTGACTGACTATAAAACTACTAATCCAATGACAGTAGCATTCTTTATCATACATGGAGTAACAACAATTTTACAATATTTGACGTTTGTCGTTTGTGATACATAAACAAGTGCTGACTATGGATGTTTAATTTAATTAATAATATTAATAACATGCATTAAAAAGAAAATATGCCACTAACTCTATTATTTTTCGCGTAGTATTTAAAATCTGATATAATAAAAAAACGTATGGAACACAATAAATATCTCCTTTGAGGTATAAAATATGAGATTTATGTGCAATATAACTGACAATAAAACACTATAAAACAAATGGCAATTTAATATTTTTTATAAAAAGTATAAATTTATTGTTATTTAAAAATATTTAGATTTTACAAAAATAATATTGTTTATGCTAAGTTTGTTTATGCTAACTTAACGGCTTTCCATTTTTGTTTGTTATATTATATAAGTGACAACTTATAGAATTAAAAACTAGAATTAATATTAAAAACATAGTTTTAAAGTTTTTTGTTTGGAAGGATGTAATGAACATAAAATGCTAAAATAGAATGTATAATCAATACCACTATACTACGCTTTGCGGCAGTGAAATAGAAGGCACAATATAAATAACCAGTGTATTTTACACATTGATAAAATATTTGATTATTATTAGTAACAAGCCCGTCACAATTCATTAGGCCACTTACCAGTTCCAAGAAATACTTAATAAAAAACTGCTTGTGCTCTAGAATTTGTTAGAACAAGTCGCTATAGATATTTTTATCTTTATCATTTGTTTAAGAACTGTTATCAATTTAAGATCGATATTTACGAGGCGAGGTGAATAATTATAGCACACATCCAAAGTCCGATACTACGTATGTTAAAGAAAAAATAGACATGTGATTTCTAGTACGCGAACAAACATATTCTAATGACATTAAAAAGGCCTAGTACTTACTCCACGATTGCGTACGAGACACGTGAATGGCGTTGTTGATCATGCTCGGGTTTTGTTTAATAGATTATAGGAAGTTAAGGAATGTGTTGCATATATATCCATCCTTTTTACACATTTGGAATAATGAACAACATAATAATCCACCTTGATCGAAACTAAGGAAATCTATGAGCCGTATGATTGATTTTCAACACTGGTATAAAAAATGCTACATACAAGTTTTTTCTGGAATTGTCTTGACTGTTTCAATCAAGACAATTCTGAAATTTCCTAGTGGAAGATTAATGGTTGTCAAAAATCTTGCCATTTGTATCTACGTCTATAGAAAAGTACTCGCACAGGTGTACGATATTTTGCATATCTATACATAGAATAGAATAGAATTGAAAATCATTTATTCAAATAAACTTAATTTAAGCACTTTTGAATAGTCATAAAAATTTTTTTTATCTACCACTCGTTTGGAAAGCTGTCTCATTACAAGAAAAACGAGCAAGAAATTTGTGTGTTGCTCTTTAACATATAAATCAAATTGGAGTGTCTGTTTGTAATATCGAAATAACCGTCTTTTACTATATGCATATGAATATAAATACGGTACATACATCAAAATAACATTTGTTTGTTCCGGCTAATCTCTGAAATAGCTGGACCAATTTTGACGGGACTTTTTTTGGCAGGTAGCTGATGTAATAAGGAGTATCTTAGGCTACTTTTATTTTAGAAAAATAAACTTAAATTCTACCCGGACGAAGTTGCGGGAACAGCTAGTTATAAATAAAATAACCCTTGGACAATTAACACTACGCCATCTAGTCCGATTGTAATCAGAATTTGTGTTATGAGTACTAGACAATTGAATAAATACTTAGATATTTATTTTATATACTTAGAAATTACTCATATTCACGAACGAATATAAATGTTTGCACCGTGCAAAGAATCGAACCATTGACCATCAGAAGAAAAAACCGCTAGATCACCAAGGCCGTCAAACAACTATTCAATATGTTTTTGTCCACAGCCGTTTCAGATAGGCGATGGTGCTTTCTTCACATCGTCTCCGATGCCTGGCGCCGGGCAGGTGGTGACCGTCGGCGCCTCCTCCAATGGTTCGATGGACTATGGCGAGAGCGATGACGACCTTCGTCGGGAGGATATCATGTTCCCCAACGATTCACAAATGGGTAAGTTTATCCCTTGCTTAGCTTGACATACTGTTGTAACTGGCTAATCAAAAATGTATTTTATATTCTAAATTTGTATTTGAATTTATAGTTCTTTTATATTACATTCTTGTTTTGTCATTTCATTCTGTTGTCAATAGTCTTCCTGAATATATTTTGCTCCGTATACCAAGTCTAGTTTCATTTTACCTATACACAAATAAAATAAAACTAAAACACATACATTCTCTTCGTCTCACAATATAGTCTCCTGCTAGTTTTGAATTCACCTGTCTGAAAAAACGTGACCTGTATGCGTATCGATTTTAATTCTTAACATTTGTAAAAACAAGTCTCGTTTTTATTTCTATCTAAAATTCTGGAAATCGTGATAGAAAATGGTGACCGTGACCGTTACTTTGTTTGTGCGTGTTTGTTCATGTTTAAGTTAGAATTCTTTTAGACCGTGTATGGTCATTCATTTGACATTCTTTGCTAAAAAGAATAATGTGTAACAATAAAAGTAAACTTTTTGCTTATTATTTATGATTAATACATGTATTACAACTAATTTAAAATTAGGCGTTAACAGACTGACATTAGTAAACAGCAAGTTTAATAATATCGAGAGTTCTTCTCTCATTTGTTAAAATTGTCCAATTAATATTTGATATTTAATTAATAAAAAAATTGTTGACAGATTGCAGCAACAGCAAACGCAGCAGTTTGCAGAGTCGTGGCAGCACTTCCAGTCTTATCGAGCGCAGTCTCACACCAAGATCTCAACCCCCTACTCCCAGGTAAGTTCTATAGCTATACAATTCTATTTCATTATTCGATTAAGCTTAAATAACAGGAAATTATACTACCAAAGAACAATCCATAGGATATCTCTTATTTAAAAAAAAGCGGACGTAGTAGCAGGAAAAAGGTAATCTCCATCAATATCCTGTTCTATTATCTTCTTGTCCTTACATATCGTTGATTCGGTGTCATTTTATCATATTACTATAGAATTTAGTTTATACTTTATTACCGGAAACCGCATTATATCAATCTTCTTTGGGAATGCATTTGTTAGTGAATAAACCGTCACTTACAATATGCAGGGATAAAGATAAAAGGACATGAGATGTAAAAACTTGGATATGAATAAAGTAATTTTGCCTATGGTCACTCCATAGACAAAATTAAGTTATATGAATAATAGATGTAACTGTGATTGTGGTGGGGTATGAACTATAATATCTCTCAAGGCCAGGATGCTTACCCATTTCTCCTTACTGTAGGTCCAGATACACAGTCCAGATCACTAGAATGCATTATACCAAAAATTATAAATCGGTAAAATATTGTAAAATGTTGTCTGCAGATCTCAAGCGGCAACCCCGCATAAATATAAAAAGGGTGATGTAGTGTCCACACCGACCGGCATTCGTAAGAAATTCAATGGCAAGCAATGGCGCCGGCTTTGCTCCAAGGATGGGTGCACGAAAGAGAGCCAGCGACGCGGGTTCTGCTCGCGTCACCTGTCGTTGCGTGGTGTACCACGATCTTCTAATACACCACTAGCACAGGGCTCCACACACACTTCGCATCAGAGGTAATTGAATATAAGTACCTATATTTTTTGTGACGTAACATTGAAAGAACACAATTAGTTATAAAATATTTTCTTCAGATGAAAATATTTTGTAATGTCGTAATATACTACTAACGGAATAAAGTATAAGTACGCCGTGCAAGAGATGAAATCTTTATTATTTCTTTTTTTTTATTACATTCTTTATAATTATTTATATTAATGACAAATAGTTTATCATGATTATTTTCTATCTCACAGAAGATCAAATAAAACCAAATAATTTAAATTGCAGAATACAATGCTTTTAGGTATATATAATGTAATGTCCTGTGTACTCTAATAAATATTTAACGACTTCTATTTATAATCTTTGAAAATAAGCTATAAATACTAACTTTGACTAAACTTTTGTTTAAAATTCAATTATACATTTTGGAAATTTATAGTGTATCGTGTATTCAGAGCGTAATCGGATGTGTGGTACACTGGCTAACTACTACTAAATATTTCAGAAGCAGCAGCAAATCATTATCGTCGAGTGGCACCGGCGTGGAGGGCGATGAAACATCACGGGAATCTGACACCACGCCGCCGCACTACCGCGTCACTGGACGCTTCGACCCTGACGAGACTGAGGCCGCTAATATGTTGGGTACGTATATACCCGGTGTTTAAAACTTATGTATACGAATTAGCTGAACGGTGGTATGTAGATTGATATTAACTTGCTTCTATATTTTACCACTAATTTGTGTTAACAATAATACCCAGACGTCATATTAGTAAATAATACATCTTGTAACTATAAATATTTATTTTCTTTATCAATTTTTAGAGGTTTCGTATGGGAATATAACTACGATTTGTGTGTGCAGTGTCGTTGGGCAGCTCGCGGTCGGGAAGTCCCGGGGCGTCCCCGGTGGGCGGGGGGTCCCCGGGGCTGCGCAACAACGTGTTCGTGCCCATCTCGAGCCCGCAGCCGCAGCCGCAGCCGCCGCACCAGCTCGCGCACCCGCACCCGCACCCACACCCGCATCCGCACCCGCACGCGCACGCGCACGTGCACTCGCATGCGCACTCTATACACGCGCATTCCGCGCACGCGGCCACGCTCAACCATCACCATCTTATCAGGTAAGACACTAATATTTGTTTAGATTAAAATTATTATAAATGCATTTTTAATTCAAAAATACTTACTTGGGTATAGTTATTTTTATGATTTTACGGTTGTGAATTAGCTGTAAAATCAACTGAATAATTACAAACATATGTAGATTTACATTTGATTAAATTTGTAAATATAAATTAATATAGGATATTTTAGAATGAAATTGTCAAAGGTTCAGTATAAAAATATATGGCATCAAAATATATATTATAATAACAGAGTACGATTCGTGTTATCAACTATTACAGATCACGATTATTGTCAAGTATATCCAAAATTTTTACTTCCAGGCCAGAATTAGTACGACCAAGTAGAGTGAGTTCCCCAGTTAGTGGTGTCGCCACTAGCGTCATCAGAGTCTCACCGGCCCCTTATTATCAGGTATTTAATTTAAACACAGAAACCCGAAACTAAAATCATTGTAGTTACAGCAATTACAATTATAAAATTTAATTTCAGGCCGAAAACCGCAATGGATCCACTACACTCCACAACAGCACCCAGTCAAATGTAATCGGCGTTCAAAGTTCAGGTTTGAACATCCAGAGCACTGCACAATCCGGTCTTAGTGTACCCTATTCAACAACATTACAGTCAAACTTGTCGTTGCCGTCGAGTATATCTCTTAATTTGAACAGTATAAACACAAGCTTACAAACGAGTGGCGCAAACACGATCCGTAGCACCAGTAACGAAATCCCCCACAATTTAATCGTTCACAGAGGTATACCTTCGTCAAACGGGGTCGATGTAGAGCAGATATACCGACAACCCATACATATTCGCAACGGGATCCACGAATACCGACGCGAGGAAGTGTCACCTCCAATGAATAACCATGAGAATTTTTTAAATAGAAGAGTCTCGGAGTACGATGAGGATACGATTCCTCAGCGAGAAAACAGCATACATCGCATCGTGATAGAGCAGCGGCCGCCGGAGTTGTCCGAGACTCGCGTAATAGAAGACAACAAGATAATAAAACCGGCACCGCTTCAGGCACGCGTCCTTTCACTCATGGATCCGGACGCGAAGGACCAAAGGAAAATTTATGTGATACCTCAGAATATTGAGAAGAAATTTGTGCTGATAAAAAACGAACCAGCTGACACTATTCAGGTGACGTTTGTTAATTTTATTCCTGTGGGTATATAGTATTCTGAATTTGTTTTTAATGGAATATAATATAACCAAAATTCCTTTGAATTTAGTAACAAATTGAATAACATGTCTGAATTTTAATGAATATCATGATTATTTATATTTTTAATAGAACATTGATATCTTTTGTTCACTTAATAAAGCATGATTTAAAAAATTGTCAAAATACATTTTATAGAACTAGTAAATCAAGTGTTATATGCATACCAACGAGATAATTAATGAATCTGAAATTACACAGTTGTTTTTTTATTTATATATTTAGATTTATTTATTTTTCCATTTTAAAAATGTGATTCCCAATATTATATTGGGTTCATATTTTTACATATTGAGTCACATCCAAAAGAAAAAAAACAATATTAATACATTGTCAAGTACTGATATTTTGATAAACATAGAATGCTATAATACCTACAACTATATAAGTAGCATATATTTTATCTGTAACAATAACAATTTCAGATAGAACACAAGATGAGTCAGATAACTCAACGTATAAATAACAATGACATGGAACCGGACCACAGGGTGCTAGACAATGGAGACCACGTGAGTGTCGATTTAAAAAAAAACACAATGTGTAAATAATATAAATTTACAGTCATAATATTGCTTCTCAAACTTATAATGACACTACAGTATAACAATTCAATGGACGTAATATAATTATTGACACTGCATTCAATTTATCAAATTAAAGTTATAACTATCCAAATTAGTTACAATTCCTTATAAATAATTGAATATTATAACATGTGCTAAGAAATATGGTTTATATAAATATTAATCTGAACCTCTATATACAGAGTATATAGAGTACCTAACGTAACTTCAGAATATTTCTCTATCCCAATTGTGTAAAGAAGTTTTCATTTATTTTTACCAATTGTCTTTTACAGATCAATAATGTGAACAGTAGCGCTGTTATAGTACATCCCAGTCAGTTACTTCCTGTTTTGCCACCGCCTACATCGCATACAGCTATTATTGGTAATATTTCTTCTTTATTACTATATACATGGGAAAATATATACATGTCAAAGCATCATACGAACCCTTTACTTTTTAATGTTGGGTCTCCATAAGCTAATGCTTATCGTTGCTATGAAAATCAATAGTGACGTGATACCTAATATTTATATCAATGTAGCATTACTCAGTCTACTGAGCATAATTTGAACTTAATTATACATTAATTGCTAAACTTAATTGATCGTCATGCCATAGTTATTACATTGTAAATATTAGGTCATACATGAAATTATGAATACATAATAGAAATTAAAGTTTATCTAACTGATACGGAGCGTATTACATTATAGTGTATAGGTACAATTCATACTAATAAATTCAAAGATATATTTCTCTGTTTGTTACTTTTTCACGGCTAACTGACTGAACGCATCATAATAAAAATTAACATGAAGATTGAATATAAACATAGATGAATTGGCTTAGAAGATCTTTTATTTAAAAATAATTATTATAAAATATTTGAAGTCGCTAGTATTCGTATTGTCGTATATATCGAAAAATAGGCTGGCATCAAATCGAAGAGAAGGCAGATAGATCCCTTTTAATATAATATTTTTTCCTGTAATAGTTTCGACGAGTGGCGTAGCTGGTAGCGTGTTCCCGTGGCAGTCGCTGGTACCATTACTGGGCGGCTCCCCGCCGGCCGCGCCGCCGTCCCCACGCACGCCACGCACACCACGCACGCCACACACGCCACACACACCACACACGCCACACACACCACACACCCCACACACGCCACACACTCCTCACACACCCCATGTTAAGACTGAGGACCAGATCAAGACTGAGAATGCAGGTAAATTTCCTCTTTATTACACTGTTATAGTTTTGTTTCACGGTTTTACAATTATATAATTTCTTTAATTTTTAATGGATATACTAGGAAAATAACAACATTAATCTTTGAACGATTTCGAATATGCAAGTTAGTTTTTTTGTTTCTTGGTTTGAAAAGAGATTGAATATGCTCGTTCCAATCACAAATCATCTCCAATATTGCGTTTCATAGTTGTTTACTGTATGTGACATGTGCTAATAAATTAAGTCTCCTCCAGTAAAATAAAAGTAGAAGAAATTACCGAGTTTTATATACCACAGGTGATGCAGCGCCACCTATCTGCACAGAGGAGGATGATGATGTGTTCGAGAGTGAGGAAACTGGAGGTGGCTGTGATGACACCAAGCGTCGCTCACAAAGTCTATCCTCGCTCAACTCTCCTGCATCTGTGAATGAGAAGGTAAAAACAATTACTAAATAACTGTAGACAATGTGGTTCACACGCCAGCTACCCTGAATTTAAGCTGAACTAACTGTACCATATAGGTTATCTCATATAAATTGAACATTACCTGTATTGCCTTCTTTTTGTGATTTTTAAATAGTGATGAGATATAATCAGAAATTGACATTAATTAGCGATTTATACACGCATTAGCACAAAATTAATAAAGTATAGGTTTAAATAAGGGTTGTTGTATCGGAATATATTTTTTTATTGACACATAGTTCACTAAAACAGCACCTGATTTGTTTTAAAAAGGCCTTTTTTAAGGTTTTTCTTAAAACATACACCTATATAAATATTTGGTTGTTCGAATTAATAAAGAATTGGTTTGTTATTACAAGAATTATATTTAAGTATTTTCATTAGTTCGCATAGACCTCAACCTCTTCTCTACACGCCTTTGTACACCTGTCTACTTTAAGATTAGATGGCGTTATGTAAATTTTCCTGTATAATTTAAATTATTATTAAATAAGCATAATGAATTTAAACTTTATATTAATTTCAGAAGGAGCGACGTATCCGTCGTCCGATGAACGCGTTCATGATATTCTCGAAGCGTCACCGTCAGATAGTGCACCAGATGCATCCGAATCAGGACAATCGGACCGTCAGCAAAATCCTCGGCGAGTGGTGGTACTCACTCAAGCCGGAGGAGAAGCAGAAGTACAATGAGCTCGCTAGTGAGGTCAGTTAAGTTGCCGTCTTATTTATTTTAATGTGTAAAAAAATAGGGACTAGTTGTGCCATATATTTGTATAAAAGTACAGTTTATGTGACAGACGTCGTATAACAATATATATATATATTTAAACCTATGGATACATATAAACCTTAATAGTGAAAATCGAAAAGTGGTTTAGATGAAGTAAGCAAAGGAACAGACAAAAACAGTAACTCTCTATTAGTGTATTTATGTATGTGTAGTGTATGAAGAGGTTAACCGAGTCACCGAGCGCACCCTTCAGAAAAATCCATCTAAAAGTGATGTAGTGAAACTTATTATTACATCTTTTTATATACTTCAACTCTATTTTATAATACATTTAATGCTAATCCTAATTAGATCGCTGTGATATATAAATGTAGAGATGATTGTTTATATATTTTCTTTTCTTTAATTCATATTGATCTTTAAAATAAACGAATTTCAATTACCATTATATTCTTATTATTTTGTTCGAGTACATTTTGAAGTTTATGTGGTCTACAGGTAAAAGAAGCTCACTTCAAGGCTCATCCAGAATGGAAATGGTGCAATAAGGATCGTCGAAAGTCATCCAGCAGTAGAGATCCAACTGGTTCCATGCCACAGGTATATAATGTTCTTTTATTGAAAGAAGTTATAAGTTAGTTTCTACCATTTCAAATAAAGTAAATAATATTTGCCTATAATCACATTAAAGATTAGACTGTAAAACCGATAAAATAGGTTTAACTTTGTTATATTTATATGCAATTCGTATTTGCACTCAGCGCTGTAATATGTCGATTTGGCATATAATTTTGCGGTATCCATACAGTACTCAGTACAGTTATCGTATATTCATGTCAAAACAATTGATGTTTAATGAAAAATGGAAATGTCGTATATCGTGTACGTTTTCAGAGAAAATAAATATAAATGGTATCTGTAGTACAGTCTGATAGCCTCAGTGATCTAGCGGTTTAACACACTGCTTAATTTCCGATGGTCGCGATTCCTCGTACGGTACAACACTTTATTCCTGAGTGATTATTTGTATTGGGGTTTTCTATAAATATTTTACAAATAATATCTAAGTATTTATATCAGTAGTCTAATATCTATAACACACACTCTGCTTACCCTGGGAATAGGTGAATTGTCATTGGGGTATTATTATTATTCTGTCTGTTTGTTCATATAGAGTCCTCGTACGCCATCCGACGTGGGAATGGGCGGCGTATCGTGTGCGGGCGCGGACGTGCCGGTGACGGTGGCTGCATACGCACACGCGGCATCGCCGCAGCTCAGCGACGACGACCAACTCGTACGTATTTTTTTTAAATAAATGATATTGGAATAAATTTTCCGATTCCTCTAATAGTATACACTGTCGGTTAGTAGTATAGGATGACGATGGAGTTAAGTCAGTCAGATCGTCTTGCCTTATTCAAGGAGTTAACCACGACGGTTTCCTGAAGAACGCCTTTACTTGATAGAGTGCAATGGTGGAAATGGAGACACTAATCCCCATTAAAATCTCTCCCAACATGAACATATTCATATTGATTTTCATCAGCATTAGGTAAAATTAGGTATTATGAACATACTGTTACAGGTGAAAATAAGTATACTATCTTACGGGTGATATTTTTTTCTGTTAAATTATTTGACTTGTTAATTACGCGTGAATGTCAAGTGTAATTAATATTTTTTAACATTTATTGCAGATGTCCCAGGCTATATGCGACGAGCCAAATCTTCCGGCACCAAGTGTGGAGATTGATCTCAAATGTGGTGAAAAAGTGACCGATTCAGACTCGGAGGGACTCGACGCTCGAGACTACTTACCGCACCATGACCACACCAGGAGACCAAAGCCGATTAAAGCCAGGTTTTACATTTTACTATTACATTACCCTAATTATATATTGCACTCATGGGTGGGTTTATTTCTGAAACAGATCTCTTCCAGCCAACCTAACGCTGTGACAGTGGATGTAATTAGCGGGCAATGATAGTGAATATTATTAATTTGAAAAAAAAAATAATAGGTTTTGTATATTGACTAATAAAGTGAGTAAAATACTGTAACATCTGTTAACCAACATTCATATTAAGTTCTTTAGTTATTTTAATTAAATTAATAATTATGTATGGTAGTATGTTGAATGTTAAATTTAATTTAAGTCTTATCAGTACTACAAATAAAAAAAAAACACTGTGAATGAAGTAAATATTATTACAGTTGCCTGGATATTTTAATGATTTGTTAATAAAAATAAAAATGTAATGGAGTAGCTCTTTATGAGTCAAATGCATTAAACGTCGCCTGAATAGGAATTTCGTATATTTGTTCTAGGGCTGGTTCGTCTGATAATCTACTTGGCGGCATTACCGCATCAAGTCCAGGTGGGTCCAAAGTGTTCCAGCCGACTGGAGGGGCCTTTAAATCTACCCACGCCGACAACGGTATGTTTGTATACATAATTTGTTTAATTTATATAAAATATATTTTTTTTTCCATAGACATTCAAGTTTATACCAGTTCTTTATTGTACTGCATTTGGTAGCCTCAGGATTTTTGGGGCCATCTGATTGTTATTTCCATATTTGATGTAGTTATTAGTTAATTAAAATTTATGTTATTTAACGTAATTTGGATGTATTTTTATTTACACTTGAGATACAGGTTCTTCGGATATCTAATACAGGCACCACTATTCATCCACAATTTTATTATTTAGCATTATATTTACATGTTCAAATGGCTCTGTTACACTGTAAACCATGTCAGGTCAGGTCCATGCCATTACACTGGAAAATACTATTATTATTATATTTTTATTTTTATCTTTTCTATCTCTTTTTTTATAAATTTAAAAGAAGGTAATACTCACCCACACGGGCCTTAGCCAAGTGTGGGAGAGGTTGCGCTGCGTGAAGGTATTATTGATTATATTATATTATTAATATAAGTATTATTATTACGTTTTTTTAGCATAATAATAAAATATGGTGTAATACTAACAATATATTATTTATCTTACAAATTTACTATTACTACGGAGAAAGTACATTATTATCGATATAGATAACGTTTAATATATTCCATAATTTAATACTATCATATCAATTCGTGATAAATACGCACCGATAATATTGGCATTTTGCGTACATAAAATAGGTATTGGAATTGTTTTTAATACTTAACTATTGTTGTTTCCGGATCGTATCTGGCTTCATTGATTTGTCTAGCAATTCAAGGCGGATATGCTACCAGCTTTAGGGCAACCTTTGGACGGGAAACTATACAGGACAATTTTAGTAGAAATTTGTCATGTGTTTATTTAACAAAAAAAATAGACAATTTTTGTATTTCATAACAATAAAATGTAGGTACATTCTATAATATCTACCACTATAATCCTGTACATGGAATACAGTTACCTTAATAATGACAATTATCTACATTGAATTACTATCCTGCAAGACTTGAACAACTATAATATCTACGTACAATTATCTACATTGAAATAACAATGACTTTGATCCATTTCAAATATTTATTATCGTATATCTGTGTTCACACACAGTGTGTGTATTCTGTGTTCGATCATGAAAATTTTATCGGTTTTTATTCTGTTCTTAACGTATAAATGGTCGTGGTTTAAATCATTCCTAAAGTTAATACTTGTAATAAATATTTGAAATGTTATACTTTAAATCGTTCATTATGTATTCCATACAGTTCTCTCATTGTTATTAAGTCAGAAATGTACTATTAGAAAATCAAAATGTGATCCCAGAAAAGGAACGGCGGTATATTTTTATTGGATCGATTCGAATGGTGACTATTTCAAAGTCAAATGAGTGAAAAAATAACAAATAACGTTTTTTATATATTTTTATTATCGTAAAATTAGCGTAAATATTTTTAGGTATATATTTTTTATTTAGTGCCAAAAGCAACAACTTACAATACAATTTTTAAAATGTATGATCCACTGTTCTGGTTCGCAGTTGTTCAAGTCTTTGCATCTGAAAATTATTATATGTCGCTGATGCTTGAAGCTAATGTTTAAACTCAGTTTTAAGGGACCTTATAACGCATATATTTAATATATTATTTTTACTCGTAGGCGACAACCTTCGGCAGTGGACCGCGTTCACAACAGTAAACAAAACGAGCTTACCGAATCAAGTACCGATCTCGCCGCACCCCTCACAATCGATTGCGAATAGCACTCAGAGTTTAACGAATAGCGTCCAAGGAATATCGCTTAGCGCTCCCAATTTAGCCACTCAAGCGGCCCTAGACAACGCCATAGCGTCGATTATGAACTCCCCGACTGCGTCGAGTGGTGTGCAAGTTATATCGAGTGGAGTATCGATACCGAGTCAATCGATTGTGCAAACGCCTCCATCGAATGCTTTGAGCAATGCGTTGCTGAAAAGTGTTACGTTGGTGAAGAGAAACCTTGGTGATAATGCTACAGGTAATTGTTTTATTTTTTATTTATATGGAGTTATAAAAACATCAACTGTCATATAGGTTTATTTGATTTTATTGATGTTTTTTTGTTTTCATCACTGGATAGTTATAAACATAAATTATAGAATTTTTCTAAATTTCGGATCCATGATGATCTACAGTGGTTTATTACAAAATTTTCATTCGCAGTTTTATTTACTACTATTGATGATTTTTGTTTCCATCACTGCGTAATTAGAAACACAAATTATACAATTTTACTATGTTTGATCCATGACCCATGACATTAAGTCTAGAGTGGTATATTTAAAATTTATAGAATATTATATTGTGCATAATTCATAATAATATATATTGTACAGGTCCATTAACGTTGTCACTGGATGCATCCGGTAACCTGTTGATAAAGGCGAGCCAGGCTAGCGAGCCGCCGGTGAGTGCAGCCGTCGCTGAACCCCAGCAGTTGCACTACGTGCAACTACAGCGGGTATTCGTGCCCGCCTACAGCGCCGGTAAGTGCACTATACTACCAAATAGTATTAAGTGTATTTCACAACCAAACACTATTCAATGTACGGAGTGAAAGCATTTCACCCAGTGCACATTAGTACAGTGTTTGCTAGTCAACCAGTGCACATTCTGAAGTATGTCAGTATACTCTATCTAAGTATTTATGATTAAATGTCAGTATTACTATGTGATGTTGGTTGATCTGTCACAATAAGTCTCATTCTGATATGTATTTGTCTAATATATTAATATATATATAATTAATAATATAATATTATTATATTAAAAAAATCTGAAAGTTGTAGCTATTATATAAAATATGTTAATCATCAATTAACCATAATCCAAAACCCTTTTTTATTTATATATCTTTCCTTATTAATGTCTTCAGATTACACAGTGTAATCTCTATTGTCTAGTTGTACATTATATAATATACTCATCTGTGCTGCATCCAACTGTAAAGATAAGATATACAAGATCCGCTCAGACATACCTCGGTTTAGCTAGTCTGTATTCTTTTCATGAAAAATGTTATGTAATGTTAACCATATTACCTCTATTCTCCCAAAATTGAATTTTAATAACTGTATTTATCATAAACATGTTCCACTATTATTTGAAAAAAAAAATACGAGCTGATTTTCTTGTCAGTTCTTCTCATTTCGAAATCACTCCGAACTGACGGTAGATGTGACATATCAAAAGAGTCTGTAATAGACCTACATGAATAAAGATATTTTGAATTTGAATTTGAATTTAAATTTACCAGTATAACTATGTATTTTTAGTTATAGAATTTTTATTAAAAAATCATATTATTTTCAGAAATAGAGACGAATAAGACACACAATATTCCGAACCCGCAATGCGGCCAGTCTGTGATAGTATCGCAAAGCAACAACCACACTGTGCCTAAGACGACAACGTGAGTTAAATTATTATTATACATATAGTAGCTTAATTATATTTCAGTCACTGGACTATTCCCTGATGTATAAAATAATATTTATGAAAATAACATTAGGTTTTATTTGAAAACAATTTTTTTTATATTAAGCATTAAAATAAATATGGATATATTATTTTATTTCATTATCATTTTATTTTATGTTTAATATAAAACATAAAACTTTTATTTATTTTTAATCTAAATATGTTTATTTGAATGCTAGTAAATAGTTTTTCTTTTAAACGTAAAATAAAATGATTTCCTAGTGATGACAATGTGAACAGGCAATGGGAGACTGCAGAAGAAGAGACGCGTCCATTTCCGCTTGCGCCTACGCCTGCCCAGCTGGGGCGAGCGCCACTGCAGAAACGGCTCAGTAGAGGTATGACAACAGAGTTATTACACGTTTCTTATTTACCATACAATGGATACAAATGTTTGTACCGTATGAGGAATCGAACGCGCGACCATCGGAAGTAAAGCGGTGTGCTAAACCACTAGTCCACTGAGGCCGTCAAAATTTGCCATACAATATACCTCTCAGTATAAAAGATGCTAACACATAATTTACATTCCATGCTCTAGGGAATAGTGATATAGATATAGCTTACATTAATAAAGGAATTTGATGTCTTTTTAGCATTAAATTATTTAAAAATATATTTTCTCGCATAAACCAAAATACAAGTTCTTGCAAAAACAGAACTTGTATTATGGATACTAAATCTGATAGAAATACTTAAATATATTTTTTATGTGTAAATTTATACATGGAAACACACAATATTACACATTAATATAAAGTTTGTATCAAGAACATAAATATATAAAGATACATTTATTTATGTTGGTATTCATTTATATTGTTATACTGTATAGCTTGTAGAAGTAGGCACATCAACAGGCTCGACGGGCAGCAATGAGCAAATGATTCCACGCTCCGAGAGTGGACCGACTACACCCCTCGATGTACCCGAGCCGCAGTCACCCAAACATACAGAAAACCTATCCAGTCCATCCCTTAAAAAGAGCCTGTTTAAAAAGGGAAATGAGGACGGACGTGACAAGTCAGTATAGCATGTTTTGCCTAGAAATAAAAAATCTATAAGTGCAGCCATTTAATAATAACAACTAGTGGAATCTTAATAATGTTCAAACTTATAATTTTGTTGAAACTCGACAGTGTTCGAAATTCGATTATTAAAACTATAAGTGTGCAATGAGCAAATGATTCCACGTAGAGTTAACCGAACACGAAGCAAACTACTCTGTTACCAAAATGTTAGAAAACGGTAGGTCACGTACCTGTATGGTTCTGTTTAAAAAGGGCTTCAGGACGGACTCGACAAGATCATCTTCGCATGTTTTCACACACTTTCAAAAAAGGTCTTACAGTTCTAATTTATTTAATAATAACAATGCGCGCGCGCGTCAATCTTAATAATGTTCGTTTGGTACTAATTTTGTTGAAACTCGACAGCGCGGGAACAGAAATTCGATTAATATAATATAATATCTGTGCACGATGGTATAGGGTAGATTTTGAACAACTGACAATTTTTTACTATAAATTAAATTTACTGGATCGACAAATATACATTTTGCAATATTTCTTATATAATTTATATAAACAATTGAAATTAATATATGTTTAAATTCTCAGAGTTCTGGAGACGGTGAATTTCGAACAGAAGTTCAGTACTCTCCCGCAGTTCAAGCCAGAGGCGTGTAGCCCTAGCGCGATGGTCGTCCCTCGAAGTCCACAGTTGTATTTGAGGAAGAAGCACAATAAGATTGGAATGGGTTAGTATTATTTATATTGATCTCTTCCTGTTAGTCTTATAGGATATCAGAGTGCAGAAAAAGTCATAAAAGGGCGATGGCTGAAAGATTAATTTAAATTATTGAAATGCGAATGTTAAGATGGATGTGTGATAAGGATGAACAACAGAAAGATTGAATACAGAAGGAATATAAAAGCAGCGCCAGTGCTAGTTAAAAAGTAATTGTTTGTTCTATTATGGGTATGGAATTATTATACGAAGCTGTGCTCTTTATAATAAACAAAAAGACATACCGTTACGATATTCTATACGGTCTCGATGGTCAAAAATATAATAAATCTGGCGGACATAAAAAAAAAAAACTGTTATACAAAGTTTTTTTTATGTCCGCCAGATTTGAACCTAATTCCTAATTATATGTGATCGCTATGATGCTTTTCATGTACCAAATACATATGTGACGTTGTTATTAGGCGGGACGTTAGCGTGTTCGACGTTCCAATATTACAAAAAACTATAACACTAACAAGTTGTTAGCTGATGATGGTTAATATTTTTGCAGATGAGGAAGGCACTGTAGTCAGCGCGCAGTTAGAGCCAGAGGTAATGAACGGGAACGGAATGCCAACCCCCCATTCGTTTGGCACACCCCATACTACTACGAAGTTGGTGGGGAATACGTTCTTCGGGCCAGATTTCAATCTCGACTCGTACAGAGGTGAGTGTTATATAAAACTTCTTTAATGCTAGTTTTCATATAAATCTATACTAATCAAATTAAAGCCCTATCTTATTTACTAACTAGACAGTAATCAATAGTTGATATCAATTGTTCATGATTTAGAAGTATAAATTATGTCTCTAAGGATTCCTAATAGGAGCACTTTTCCCTAGTCATTTTTAGAATGCGCAGACTTGCCTAATGCTCTTATGCATAAATGTTTGTACAAATGTATATTTTATGATTATATTTACCATACTACATGTTTATTACTCTGTAATAATGTAGTTTTCTGTGATTTAAAGATGTCAATAGTTTTTACATGTATGTACATATTTTTAACCGACTTCAAATATGTTGGGGTTTTACATTAGGTGAACATTAAAAGGCAAGTTTCTTACTCATTATTGTACTGAAACTGCATTCCGAATGAATGGTAGAAAAATATTATTTCTATTCTATTGTAATAATTACGTCACACAAATTTCAGTAATTGTTACTTGTCAACGTGACGTCACAAAAGCTAAGATCCTTTCCTAGGTGTGGAAGCAATTTTTAGTTCAATTTATTTTAAATGAAGTATTTTTAAAAATATTGAATGCATTATGTGACTCCTTTTATATAATGTAACGCTCACTTGTTATATAATGTTTTACTTTATCACTTACGCGTGACGTTATATATTGATGGCCTATTAAAACAATGCTGCCACTGAGTAACGGTAACCACTGTTACATCACTGACAAAGAAACTGAAAGCTCCATAATAATGATGAGTACCCGGTACAGCATCGGAGAGCATGGAGGAGATGTCTCCGCGCACGCCGTGCTCGGGCAGCACGAGTGCGGGCGCGGGGGGCGCGGCGGGCGCGGGGGCGGCGGGCGGCGGCGCGGTGGGGGGCGCGGGGGGCGCGGGCCCGCGCGAGGCCGGCCACCGCCGCGTGCTGGAGCAGCGCCGCCAGCTCGTGCTCAAGTTGTTCCAGGAGCACGGCATGTTCCCCTCCACGCAGGCCACCACGCAGTTCCAGGTCAGTGTCTACTCCAAGTTTTATTATGGACGTCCGGCCGTCCTCACGACCGCCCGTGATGTCTGATTTATATTAATACTATATTATATTATTTATATTTACTACTTTACTATATTTTCAGGCGACATATATGGAGATATTTCCCACAAAGATGTCCCTGCAACTGAAGATACGTGAAGTGCGACAAAAGTTAATGGCGCAATCGAATCTAACGCCACACTCCGAAGTCAACACGCCCACAAGTAAGATTTTAAACCATTTTATGTGATAATGGTAATAAAACCAGTTTGTAGGAAAATTATCCTAAAAATAACTAGAATAAAGTTCATTTTCTGTCTTGCAATATTGGCAGTATGTTCGAATCGTTTGTATAGAACCTTACGAACTATTATTACCTAAAAAAATCTCTATCTATGCAAATTATCATCATAGTAATACCATTTACATATTTCATTGTAATTATATGTAGACATAGTTAGACCAGACGCAAATTTAAACACTCCTTTCCATCCTAATGTTGCCTGGAAGAGATCACTGTTTAGCAATAAGGCCGCCCGTTGTCTTGTTCATAGTGATAATATTCTTATCGTTTAGTTTGTATTAATTTATGTAAATCTATTTTCTATTACAAGAACAATGCAGAGTTTTCATTCATTCTTTATTCATTCGTAATAATATGCAATTTTTCCGATGATTTTTTTCTGTATTGATAGCAACACCATATAACTCTAAAAAAAACTATTTTCAGATGTGAATTCCCCGATTGTGACGTCAACCGCCAGTTAGCGATGCGGATACACCATCTCCATTGTGGTGCAAGAATAACAGTATAATTAATTTAGCTGTTCACAAGTTGGATAAATTTTATAAATCATTGTAATGCATTTTACAGAAATATTTCTTTGCAAAAAGTTCTATTATATTAATGTTGGCAACATCGAAAAACTGTCGAATGTAGTACATAATATTTTAGACCGTAATATTAATAATTTCTTATTTTTATCAGGTTATAATGTAAACTTAATATCACTATAATATTTAAGAATTTGATAAGAAAGTTTTAATGATTTTAGAAGTAGTTTCCACAATAACATGTCCTCACTGAGTACAGTACGTCCACTGTACGTTGATTTGACAGATCTTTTCGGTGTTGCTATTACGATGGTAGTAAACTTGAAAGAGAGCATATACGAGGCATATTTATCAACATAACATATTCATCATTCATATTTAGTACTCTATCGTATAATACGTTATTAAGTTCATTCGGATATATTACAATTGAAGAGTTACTAATAAAAAATATGTTATGGTGACAAGTCTTACTCAGCTTCCTTGCACATAGGTATGCTAACATTTCATTGCGTTAAATGGTGTATCATGTTTTTATAGCTTATTCTAATAATATTTGTAGGTGACTACGAACATGACTCTGACTGAAACATAGAATTTTACTAGTCTGTTTGCGCACGAGTTATATACTAAATAAATAATATATAGTGGTAATTTATAATACATCATCATTTAAATACTTCTTTATATCAGGTTTCCAGTAGAAGTCATAGGTCACTGCTACAGACAAAAGTTAATATTTCATTTCAGTTGTTAACAATTAAATGTAGGGTAGCACGTTTATATGAATGTAACAGAATTTTTGTAAAATTAATTAAATAGGGTATCCCACTGTCAACAGCTAATGTGAGAATTCTTGTACTCGAAGAAATACAATGGAGTTGTACAAGTATGTACAATTTGTTCTATGTAGGGTCGTTAGAGATATTTGAAAAAATAATATATACTGCATTGTTGTCTCTAATAGACCGTTTGTGCATTTAAAAAGTACGTTCGATTATTATGTAATAATCGTTTTTAATATAAAAAAATAACAAAAAAATCTATAAAATGATCAATGTGTGGGTAGTAACGATGCGTGTGTGCACGGTTCATATAGAGATAACGTTCATATAACTGCCAAACGAATCATTACCAAAGCGGATTTGGTATCAGGTGTAATCGATTCGTATATAAAACGCTATTTCAACACATTCAACGATATTCAATTAAAGAAATTAGTCATAAAATTAACGAGACGAATTTAGCTCATATGCCCGATTGATTGTGGGCTAATAAATGAGCTCTATATAAGACGACACTCCAATTATATTTTTTTTCGATTTATTTTGCTTGTCGAGTATATTATCAATCTTTTGCTTTCTAATAGATTCAGTAGTTATAATTATTCTTAATATCCAGTTGTGCAGATGTTAAAGTACTAGTTCTATATCAATAGTGTGGATATAGGATGGTCTAACGTTAAAATATTGCCACTTACCCTAATTTATACTATAACCATGCCTCAATTCTTGGCAGTGCATAACTGATTATAATTAATATACAGTATCAAATAGAACATCACTAATATTTTCATTTTATATGTATGGGCAGTTTTGCTATACGATTGCCTCATTGAGTTAAAACGAAATAAAAAAAGAAGAAAAAAATGTATCATTCAAATTGTACTCCTAGCATATCACGCACGCTTATCATTATCCCACTTTCTGATGAGTCCCCCGATACAAATGTGTTGGTAGATGCGTTTTAGTTACTATATTCTTGGGATGGAACGAGATAGAAATGTCCGGTGTATTATTCTGCCTTTTGCGGACGTTATATACCAATAGTTTTATTTGCTATTTGTGTGTGTGGGGAGATATTTACTAAGTGTGGATATATTCATTAATGCTTTTATTTCATTTAGTTTATTGATCATTACATCATTGTTATGTCTTTATTTTATCAAATAGCACTTTATTCACATGGGCACGATCTCAATACATTTATTTGTATAATCTTTATGTAAGTCCTTTGGTTGATGTGAATGTAAGTAAGGTTGTATATTGTCGCAATATTTACTTTGTACGTCCATATACTATGAGTGTAATATTTTATTTACTTTATTCCATTAGTTGCTTGCCATAGCTGTTACATTAAGGGGCATTGCAATTACATCATAACCTTGTTTTTAGTATGATTGAAATAAGTCAGATTTACAAAAGTGCAAGCAACTAGGATTATGGGGTTTATTATATGTAGTGAAAGGATTGTAAAGAAAGTTTTTTTAGCAAATGCATTTATAATAGAAATACCCACATACCGTACTGCAAGTATATGAAGAATTAAACCCCTATAGTAATGAATATAATATGCATATAAAAGACGCTTTGTGTACACAGCGTCCACACTACATATGTTATAATTTGCATTCAAGTAAGATATAGAACGGCGAAACGACGAAACATTTTGGTGCGTAGATTATTTTTTAAGACTAATTATTTTGTATCGTTTTCTATTTATGTTGTGATGTTGGTCTTCCACATGATAAAATTTTCATTTTTTATTAGATAAATAAATATCTACTTATTTAATTATTTCTATGTACAGTGATTTACTTTAAGTAACGTGGAGTGATATTGTATTACTTTCGGATGCCATGTTTGATAGAATTAGATATCGGGAGATGACAGTTTATAGACATTTTAATAGTAGCATCTTTCTATAGTTGAAATCTTGGTACAAGTTTTTTATCCGTAAATGACGTAGTAATCATTCAATACATAATGACAGTGTTATAAAACAGCTCAAATCATTATCGACACTAGTTAAATCAATATTTATACATAATAATAATCTCACTGTAAATATTAGATTTATTTTATGCTAGCGCTAAGAGTTCCCGGCTCTCAAAGTAATTAAGTTTTTATTTAGATAATAATAAAAAATGATAAATGTATAATTTAATACTTAAAAATTCGGCCAATACAAATGTTATGTATATCAAAATTGTATTTTTAAAATGATCTCTTTGGCGTTAATAATATTTAGATAATTGCTTTAGGAGTCCGGAAGTGAAATGAATTTATTAAAAGTATAAATTTAAGAGATATTTTCACACTGTTAAATATATTCTTGATAGTCGAGTAGCTGAGTTGTCACCGAGATTGAGACCTCGAGGGTCATTGTTATGCCTCTGTTTATATATCTACAGTAAAATTACCTGTTGTCACTTTGTAGACACGATTTACAAAAGGACAGCCAGTTGGTAAGAGACTAGAGGCCTAAGTAATGATGTTATTGACAATTATTAATTGTAATTGATTCAAATTGGTTGTTTTTCGATTTTTTTATAATCCATTTGAGAGTTGCAAACGTGAGCTAAGACGTATGGTTCCTAATTGCAACTGTTAAATGGTCTGTGCGTGCGAAATTTTAGTAAGTAATCTGTTACAATAAAGTAATAATAATTGGTAATAATATCATTACATAATTAGGGTCCACATACAGATGTTGGTGGCCTCTTGCTGTCTTAATATTCGGTATCCAAACTTCGCGTAGTCAATTGCCCGTAATGTCAATCTTATCATCGTACTATAGCCGTTGTTACCAATTAGTCATAACGTAAACATGTATCACACGTAATAACCTAGCATGAACTATTTACTTGATGTTTCTCTGTAATTTGCAAATAATTAGTGTGTGAAGAAAGGTGGCCATAAATTGGCCTATTAGTTCAAAGACAGTTTATTTTATATAGTACAAGTTACACCAGTAGCGTTGTATATCATTAAATTCATTATTGTTTGTATTAATGTTGAAAATAATTTTATATGGAAAAAAAGCTCCTACAAACTAGGCCTGTAATACTTAAATATTTATATATATGTGTATCACCTAATAGGAATTTATTTAACATTTTATCCAAAATATCCTGTCCGTCTTTAGAGATGTGCGATTGTTTTATTTGTAGTGCCCATTCACATTTTACAGTTAATAATAATGTAATCTGGTTTTATCAATTTTAAATATAATTTAATCAGTTTTATCCACAGTTGATTTTATTGTTGTTAACTATGATCAATCAACAGTTATTTAATATTATAATGAAACCATATTAACAACTTAATCTCCACGTGAGTTTCATTATTTGCACTTGAAGTCAACTTACGCATTAAGATTTCGTTGCAATATTATCTAATATAGTTTTATTTCACGGTTTATGAATTGCGGTGGTTTGTACAGAATGTTTCCATTTGTTTTAATACTGTCCAGTTCTTTAAGTTTGTTGCTTGTTGAATCATAACAGTTGGAGATATGTTGGTTTTAGAGTGAATGTCTTTTCAGTGTGTTATAGTAATAACAAATATGAAACAAACCTTAATGTGAATAATAAGCTGCGTATTACTAGTGCCTTATTGACTTTCAAGACTTAGTGTTTGCTTTTAAGAAATTATACATGTCTTATTTTTTTTGCCATCTATCTTTACTAGGCATTGTCAGTCAATAAACAATGGATAATAGGCAGTTTGTTTTATTAGACTGAATTAAATGTGTTGCATATAACAAGTTATAATGTTATATATATTAAGAAATATTAGCGAAATAGTGATTACTTCAAAAGGACATTTTAAATAAAGCATTTCATATTCGTTATTTATTTCTTCTACATAAGGCATTAGTCTAATTGTTTAGTCAAAATGGCGTAATTGTAAATATCTTGTTTAGAAGTTTTATTTAGGTTTAAGTGTTCAATTTAATGTATATTAGATTGAATTAGAAAGAAAAGAATCATCAGAGTAAAAAAATATATCTGAAACGGTAATCACGTTTACATAAGTGAGTTTTTTAAATTGTTTATGAATCCAACCAATGGACCAAATAAATGGCACTTTTAACTTATATATTGTAATCGACAAAAGTAAAACAGACATTGTGAGCAGATGTATTGTAAACCAACCCATAGCAGTGTGGACAGTTTGTTCAAGCATATTGGATCATTGTATGAACTTATGTTAAAACATAAAAACCACGAAGACACCTTCGCATTTTATTTCATAACCTATTTTGTTTAGTTCACTTTGAAGAGTCAGAGTGCTTTAGAAATAATACAACAATATACTTAATTTGCCTTACAAGTTAAGTAAGTAACAAAAACAATAATGAGATTAAAATTCCAGTTACATACAGTCTCACTCATATAAAATCAGATTTACGTTTCTTTGTGATATTGTATTCTTACTGGGCCTATTATTTCCTTACACTACGTACCACTATCAAATTATGAATATGTAGTGCTGTGAGAATTGACCAAATATCACTATAAAGTACTAAAATATCACTTTATAGTAATATTTGGTCAATTCTCACAGCACTACATATTCTAGAATTAACCGGGCATGTATTATGAGTACTGAGTTGATTTTATCAGTTTAGTACAACAAATAGTCAAATACAGTGTTCTCTTGTAAATGCACACACAATACACGATAAAACACCTAACCTAACCAATACAAACAATAACATTTGAATACAAATTATTTAAATGTTTGTATATGAAGATTCATGCTGCGACCATCTGTACTAAGGAATGTTTATCAGCTAGCCAAGACAAGACTATACTCTAAATTAGAAAAATTAACAGAATTGAGGACTTTTGCTAAGTTCATAAATGGCAATAATTTCATAATTGCATTCAAAACATTTCCAAGAATCTATAAAATTAAAATATACAAATTGATTTTTTAACAATATTTTATTACATTTCTAAAATTTTCTGGATAAATTAACAATTTATTTTAAATACTACTAAAACAAAAATTAAATATCATTGACTAATTACATTCTCTGTATTTTCTACAGATTTAATTAACAACTCGGGTTTTTCTTGTTCCAGCATAGACAATGCAGCCTGTAACTCTATATTATCACCAGGATCAGTTATTATTAACATTTTTAATGCCTTCATCCTCGCCAAACTAAATACACAACCAACACATATATTACACCCACTAATGTCCAAATATTCTAGACTTTTACCATTCTGGCCAGCTATTCTATCTATGCACCAAACATCTACATGCCTATTGTTTTTCAATGATAACCACTTGAGAAAATTTAAACCATATAGGTTTTCCAAGCCCTCAAATCGAATACCATTGTGATGAAAGTCTTTGCAGTCAATGGCTTCCACAAAATAACCATCCACATAGTTGCTGGGAAGATCGAGTGAAATTGCATCTCCGAATAGCCATTCACTTGAACCTCTCAACCTGAAAAACAACAATAATGAATAATAATACCAATAATTATATTGTGAGAATTGTTAATATCTTCTTCTATTAGTAACAGTAGAAAATATTTACCTATACATTATTATAATACATATTTAGAAAATGTGTGCAATATAAGGTAACATCAATAAAACTAAAGTTTTTATATCCTAATGTGGATATAAAATAATAAAATACTGACAACCCAATTTTCCATTTAAAACAAGAGTCAGTGATTCAGTTTTCAGTATAATAATAAAAACCTAAGAATAAGGCACTATAGCTATATTGGTATACTTTTTTTTATCAAACGTTAAATGTGGTACTAGAGATTCAAACCCATACTCTCTTTACTATTTTTGAGATTCATGTCTCAAAAATACTATGGCCTCATTGCGGAAACAGTATTTTAGTATATTAATAATTTACAATATTGAATATAGAGCTGGAAATATTTCATAAATCATATGGAAAAATAAATATAGAATAATAAAATACTGACAACCCAATTCACACCAGTTCCAAAATAATTAAAACAAGTAGTTTCTTTTTAAGTAACTCAGAACTACAATCTCCTATACATATTAATTATATACAATATGATTAGCATCATTATTAACAGTCAGTATATTTATATAGTCCTATATCAATATCTTGTTTACCTGTTTGGTATAAAATGATACCTAGAATATTGTATTTACCTGACTTTGCCTTGTCGAAATGTAAAGAAATGCACAGCCGCCAAATTGGATCCAAGAGTAGCTACTCGTTCTGGCAAAAATTTTTGGTTCTGAACTTCTTGGACCACTTTCATGTCCTGCCACCAGACTTTTATTTTATCAAACGTTAAATGTGGTACTTGAGACAAAGCGTACATTATATCCGGACTAGGATTTTTCTCAACGAAAACAGACAATTTACTGGTCCATTCGCCATCTCTCTTTATCCAAGGTTTCCGCCACTCCGGGTACGGTTTTCCGAAGACTTCGCGTGGCTTTGGACCTTCCTCATGTTTTTGATAGATTGATTTTTCCTCGCTGTATTTTCGACAAGTGTTGTAAAAGGTCCGAGTATACTTGTTTAAATTAGCAGGCCTCATTGCGGAAACAGTATTTTAGTATATTAATAATTTACAATATTACTAATATCGTAGTATTTATTATTAGTATTCAACTATTCATAATGCTTCAATATATGTTAGTTATTATAGAATAAGAATAAGATAAATTAAAAATTAGTAATTACGAAATATTTACTGGTAGTGAGAACTGACACTAACAGATTAAAAAAAAAGTGCTGTGGTTCATTTGACAGTTTTGACATTTATAGATTAATTGACAGTATTTTTTGAAGTAATAAATAATGTACAAGTTCTTTGGTATTATTTATTTAGTTAAAGCTACATTTATAAAGTCGTCCGTCGTTTCTTTGATTTTAATGTCGAATAGCACTTATCTATAGAATGTACAGATATAGAGTTCACAGAACAGTATTATATTGTATTAATAGTAGAGTAGTAGAGTTTTAATTGATGTTGGCAACAGTATGAGAGACGTTTGTCTTTGTTCATCAGGGGAAACAAAAAGTACTTAATGGGGATGAATGATATACTGGAGTTATTTCTAAAACTTGGTGGCCATGTGAATTGTTTGTTGTACCCTAAATAAATTCAAAACATCATTATTTAACTGAACTTAAAGCCTACTACAAATAAAAGGTCCACTTTTTTTATTAACAAATGGAGCAAACAAAACTTACAATAGAATTAAACTCAGTCAAAAAATTTAATTAAAGCCATGATTAATTCTGTAAATTGATTTGGTAAATTCTCACTAAATTTATATACCGCAGCCATCTGCCTTATTAATTGTTTATGCATGTTTACATCATAACCATAAAAGATGACGAGCGTCTATTGATTATATTAGCGTAGAGTATTTTAATTTGAATTTGCATTTGAATAGCACAAGAAAACATTGCATAAGTCTCTGTCTAGAAGTTGATATCTGTATGATTTTAGGCATAGTATCGTTGCAACAATATTGTGCTTTAGGCACTATGTTGAACTTCTAAAATCGACAACGCGTATATGAGACACCCTTGGTGTTTCAGGTTTTCATTGGCTGCGGTAATCGTTTACGTTCTTATGTACCGTAAACTTGCCTAAAATCTTGCTTTTTTGGCTATAGTTGGCCTATAATCTCAATATCCTTTTAAACTTATACAATATTTACCCCCATACCTTCATTTTTGAAGGAGGCCTTTATTGAGCAATGGATGTCTTCCGGGCTGAAATGATGATATCCTTATTTTTTTACAGTGTTTACACACATGAGTAGCAGATAAGTGAAAATAGTAGGTAATCTTTTCATTTTTTTTACGTGGAGGCCCATGGTTGAGTATATGTTACAGCTACATTTTCATGTTAATATTTGTAATATTATCATGAAAATGTACTTTATAAAGTCGTCGTTGTCAATATTTGAGTAACCTTTTTTACTTAGTGTTCAACTTCGTGCAAACTCTTTAGAACACATTATTAACTGACAGTAAGTTAATATTATAGTAAACCACTCTTACGGACTACCTACCTAGATGACAACCCTTTTTTTAACGAGGGAAATGTTCATACAGAAACTCCCGCCTTCATGAGGAGAGCCGCCCGCCCGCCCGCCAAAGAGGTGTAGACGGACACTGCCTGGGATCCTTACCCAAACTTAAAACCCCCATACCTTCATTTTTGAAGGAGGCCTTTATTGAGCAATGGATGTCTTCCGGGCTGAAATGATGATATCCTTATTTTAAATGAAAAGAGTAGGTATCTACTTATTTTTGAATGGTTGAATTACAAATATAATCATGAAAATGTACTATGCGTTGTCAATATTTGAGTAACCTTTTTTACTTAGTGTTCAACTTCGTGCAAACTCTTTAGAACACATTATTAACTGACAGTAAGTTAATATTATAGTAAACCACCCTTTTTTTAACGAGGGAAATGTGCGGGATGCACTTTTTTCCTTCACTCCGCAATCGTCTCGGTTCACTGAAGGAGTCGCCCGGATGAGGATGCGGGGACCATTCCCGCTCTCCACGGATCACTCGCCACCTAGGAGCTTGGGGTGCCCCCACATCCTTCGCTCCGAGTGTCCAACTTGGGGTTTCGGGTGGAAAATACACCCTCCACCCCCTACGTCGAGGTCTACGATCGCCGCTGCGTTGCGGTGCATCGCGCCAGGCGCCACCCGGTGTCCCGACTACGGGTTAGGGTCCGATACTTCCTGACACATCGACAGCGAGCAGTGTGACATATGGACTGACCTCCGCGCCGCGCACGCCGGGTTGTTCCCCCGGGATCACCTCCACGGGGGTTACAACCCTAGGTTTTGATCTGTGTGTTTATAAAAGTATCTAAGCTTAATTGTCTACTTGAATAAAAATAATTATATTGTAGCATTAACATTAATGATCTATTTATTATTCAAATTTAATTCCTATTAAATATTATTAGGTATCTACCTACACTATATAAGAAATTTTGTAAATCTATAGAAAATCAGCAGAGTAGCCTATTTTTTGCTTTATTATTCATAAACTAGTAAACGAATTGCAGTGATTTTTATATATACAAAGAGATCTACGAGTAAGTGAATTGGGAAAAATAAATCGGCTATTTCAAATGATAATATTTAAATACGACTTTATATTATAAGGCGCCTGCTCTCATTGGGACAGACAGAAGCAAATTAATGATCCGATTAGTTAAGTTAGCAACATGTCAAGTTCTTATTTAAACTTTATTATTTTCACCGACTGAGGAGGATCACCGCTAAAACAATTCGATGCATTTTTTAACTGTCTAGTACCTTTGTTCTACATTTTGTCATTTTTGATAGTCAGTTTCTTGCGAAAGATATTTGTTACTTGTTAGCATTAATAAAATTACATTGAAAGCTAGTAGCAGCCTACAGTCAGATTCGTCAATCAGAGTCGAAGTGACAGCGTACCACCGTCGTTGTGTCGCGCCGAGGGAAATACGCTAAGTGCTTTCACAGTTTCGTGTATCAAATACAATGCTGTGTTCACATCTATCAATGTACCAGTCGTATTGAGATTGATTATAATTTTTTATAGACATTCGATACCTATATGTGTAGTATATTACGTTACACGTTTTACATTTTTAGAGGTATTTGTGCATTCTAAATAATGATAGTGATCTTTTTTGTTATTTGCAGCCTGTACTTACTGAAATAAAAAAGAAAATAACGAAATCGAGAGACCGAGCGTGTACAAGCTAACATATTCCTTTCTGGTTGGATTCAAATATTCACGGAAAATGATGAGTGTTGTGTGTGCCGCAATGTCAACACTTGACAACACATCTGACTTACAAATCTGTGATAATATACGTGATATTTTTTAGGAACGACAAGTACTAGTAATATCTATTATTTTTTTTATACACTTGAAACAATTATTAACACATTATGTTCATTAAATGAGGTATATTATATCAATAATATATAGTTTTTGGTAATGCCCATTAAATGTTCTAAAAATATGAATAAATTGCATGTAAAACATTAAAAACAACTATTTTATTTTCCCATACAAACTGTTCGTAACTGTCAAATAGGTTGCGTTCAGAAATTTATTGTGTAACTAAACTTCAAAGAATCTTTGACATGTTATTTAATACTGAGGCGGAACGGGGTTCACAGGGTCAGGGTTAGTGTAATATAAAAATAAAGAATTGTAAAGATAAATTAAAGAATTAATTTATCCCCTGGTATTTCTAAATCTGAGTCCAGTAACTATGTGAATGTGAACGAAGCATCGGTGTATGATATCAACTCGGCAAATGGCATGTTTCTGCATATGTAAGCAGCTAGGGTTCTCACTAATGTACAATTAGCCTTCGATTGAGACTGCTCCCTTGCGTATTTCTCTGCTTGGCTCCTGGATTCAACGCAATTAATTAACTATTCGGAGTAATTATCAAGTACTATGGAAGATTAGTAGGAATTTGCAAGTGGAATGTTGGGCAATGTCGGCTATAAATATATCTTATATACGTCATCAAACAATCGGTAAGAAATATATTATTTTCATAAAAAAGTTTTGGTACTGTATTTTAGATTTAAATTTAAATATATATTTATATACTTTTACACCTGGTATTAAATCACTAACTGACGACGTTCTTGTACTGGCACTGGAGTGGTTATATGAGTTATATACATCAAATATCGTAAGTTTTAATCAGGTTGACATCAAAATAAGTTTGTGTGTCAATTTATATTACTTACCGACTTTCTTTGGTAATGAAAAATACTAATAACAAACCAATTTAAAACCGAGAGCAACTATTATTCTCTTTTTATTCATTCCATTTGCATGCATTTACAATATTTTTTTTGTAAATACTTTCGTTGTCTGGAACAAATTGTATTAGTTTTTCCGTCTTTTATACTTAGTTTTAATTTTGTTCATGTCATTCCATGTGCTGCATAAAAGTGTCATACTAGTCATACCTCTTATCCTGTAATATCACAGCTGTATTTCACTGTTTATTTCTTACAAAGCCACCTGCTTGGCGGCTAAAATAAGTAAGAGTTTGGTACCCATTCAGAGGACTTTTATAAAGTGTATATCTTATAGATAAGATAATATTGATTTTAAGATAAGATTACCCTTAACAACCTTTAACTAAATTCAATTAAATAAAAGCTGATATGAGTTACTTTAATTAAATTCAAATACCAATCATCACCTACTTATAATTTCTCTTTTCGTTTATTAGATATAAGAAAATCTGTAGTTAATTGAGCCGCTGTTGCTGAGGTCCGTTATTAATTCAAGCGCCTGTTGTAGTGTTGCCAGGCCAGCTGCTATATTAATTCTAAGCTATAACGGAGGAAATAATTATGGACGTCTATATGCCAAGCTGTGGATATACCATATTGAAGAAAATGTATCCTGCTTTATGTCTATATTACTTTTACCTTTAACTTTTTAAAGGGTTATACTCTTTAGTCATATACAAACTAGGTGAAGCTTGCGGATTTCAACGCGTGGTGTCGTTATAAAGTATTTTATGCACGCTATAATAAACACCATAGAATTTAAATTGATGCCTTAAGATTTTTAAGAGTTACGAATACCTATATAAAAAAATCAATTGAACGCTATTTATATCATCCGCTATACAAAATGTGATATGAAAATATTAAAACTTGATTTGTCTGTGTGTATCGGATGCAAACTAAAGAAATCTACTTGCTACTACCCTATTATTAAAATTACAGTTAATGAAAATCACGTGTAGGTAAAATGTACACCAATATTTTTCAAGTATTTAAA